CTACACTGAGCCCTGAGCCCTAACTTCGGCTCCTCTCCTCACAGTCAGGCCAATTCTCTTGTAAGTGGCCTTGAGTGGTCAAAAAGACAAGTTCGAATTAACAACCAGTCTCTCCATTATATTGTTAAACACTCTGTTCCCTAAGCTGCATGTCAGTGGTCTTAGGGTTCCAACCTGGGGGTCAGCTCCTCTCACTCTCCACTCTGCCGCAGGTGCTCTGAGCCAGGCCTGTGGCTCTCTCTTCCATCCATCTTTCCGCTCCCCACGAGTCTCTCTCTTCAACATGAACCATCTTCTGAGTTTCTGATCCATATCTACTGACTGTTGGACATTTCCACCTACGCACTCTACAGGCTCCTCACTTAATAAATCACAAATTGTGCCCCTCGTCCCCTTCCCCTAAACTATGACCTTTCACTTGAAGTCCTTCTCTTGGCTACTGGCACTCCTCGCCATCCAGGGAGTCAGCTTTCTCCTTCGTCCACAACACCTGACTGGATCACAAGTCCAGACAAATTTACCTCCTAAATCCACTCCCATCCCTGCTGTCTCTATCATATGGACTTCTGCAGTTTCCTTTTCGCTTCACAAACAATGAGGGCTCCCTCTGGTCCACCTTCCTCATGCTGCAAGAGCACCCTTGCTAAAATATACCTCTGGACCCCGCACTCTCCTGCTTTGAAACTCTTCAAGGTCTACTCAACACCTGCAGTTAAGTTTGACTACTGGCATGGGCCACAAAGCCCCTCCTCATCTGGCTCTTGTCATTCACTGAAAACCAGCACTTTAGCCTTTGGTCATAAAGGGCACAACCACAAGACCTTTGCACACGTGCGGATCTCAGCCTGAAATGCCTCTTTTCGTCTAGAAATCACCTCTTTTTGGGAGATGCAATTCAAATATGTCCTCCTCCATGAAGCCTTCTCTTATTCCCTCCCAACAGCAAAAATAAATAAGTGCTTCCTCCCTGACATCCTGATCCCTTAAAGACTTTTCACTACTTACAAACATCTGTTTACATGTTTTTCTTCCCTGTTAGACACAAGGTCTGCCTTTTGAAGTATCCCAAACATAGTCTGACTCTTGGCATGGATGTTTGCAAGACATCCCAGCACATACAACTGTGTGCCAAGACCACACTGGGTACTTACTTCATGGTAACTGTCTGCCTTACTCTTCCCCAGAACCCTGTGAGGAAACATCCCTTCCATCTAACAGGCCAGGGAACTGAAGTCCAGAAAGACTAAATAACTTCAGATTAAGATTCATTTATAATGTAGTGAAGTCAAGATTTGAACCCAGGTCTGCCCAACTCAAATTCTGTAGCTCTTAAAACTGACTGATCATTAGCAACCCACACCCCAAGCCACCAATAAGGAATTTTAAAAATGCACATTCCTAGGCCATATCCTAGAATTTCAACATATGAATCAGATCTATCAAAATGTAGGAATCTGTATAGTTCAAGCTCTCCGGGTGGTTTGATTATAAAATCAAACCAATTTTAGGCATCACTGCACTGATCCCCAGGCCTCTCTACTGCAGGCCTTTGGGAAGAGCTTAGAGCTGGAGACATTAGTCCAGGAACAACTCACCTAGAAAGGGAATATAAGGGGAAAATACAGAAAGAAAAAATAAGGCCAGGAGAGAACCCTGGTAGAAGTTCCTATAGAAGCAGGGAGAGAAGTTAGAAGAAATGGAAAAAAAAATGGTAAGAGACATAGAAGGAGGCTTAATAGTAACTATGTCCCAAAACCAGGGGTACAAGAGTTTTGCAAAGGGACATCTGATAACATAAGATCCTGTGGAGAGAAGGAAGAAAAAGAAGGCCCAGATCATTACACTCATATTGGTTCTGTCCAGGACACAGAATAATATCCTGATCTATATAAGCTGATGTGGGTTTTGCTTGGTTATTTGTTTTAGGAGTTTGGCCACTGTGCCCCTTCCATCCAGTTGGTATCCTTCACTGCCCCAAGAAAGGTATGACACAGTGGAACAGCAGAGAATAAAAGTCAAACCACAGCTTCGGAGTTCAAGAAATACTGGTCAGGGCATTGACAACAGTCTGGAAGACCACAGGAGTCTACTGGGCAACCCTGTCCTCAACAAAGGTGTCAAGATGGTGAACATGGGAGTGTTAGCAAAGAAACAAAAGTGTGACCCTGCGGTACGTCCTTGCAAAAGCGTCCTTGACATCGTCACCATGTCCCCATTCCCTCAGTCCCAGAAGTGACAGAGAGAATCTAGAGCTGGAGAAGCCTCATGCTGGGTAACAAGAGACCACTCTGCTTGCAGGATCAAAGACCAAGGCCCTTCTAGAAGGGACAAGCCCATTTTAACATTGTGAACTGACCACACAAAGAGTCCCATAATACAAGGGTCCTAGAGAAGCCCCCAAGACTAAGCTGCAACTCCAGGGTAGGGGCTGAGAGCCCTACATTTACAGAAATAAGGTTTATGGCACCAGCCTAATAAAATCTCAAATCGGACATTATGTTCAGTTATAGGAAAGCAAAAACTAGTCACATTTCTTCCCCTCTTGAGTGTGCCAACTGAGATCCTTATCTGTTACATTCCAGAGATGGAGATGGAAGACAGAGAACAAAGAGCTGAGGAGAGAGCAAAATCCAATTGGCAGAGGTGGCAAATACAGCCTCTTCCGCAAAAAAATAAAGTAAAAATTTTAAAATTTGTATATATACAAATATACAAATATACAAATTTCCTTTGACTCTTCATCAAAGGAAATTCAGGGATAGAGCTAGCAGAATTGTTTACAGGATTGTTGTGTGTGTGTGTGTGTGTGTGTGTGTGTGTGTGTGTGTGTGTGTGTGTGTGTGTGTGTGTAGGATGGAGGAAATCTGAGCATGTCTCTTTAATTTAGTAAGTCATTGCCCAACCCATGGCTTGAAAGAGGTAAGAATTGCTTTAGCAACTAGAAATCCCTTTCGAACTCCCACACTTTCTTTTGCACCCACAAATTCCTAGTGTAACGTCACTGACAAAGTTCACTAGCTGTCCCCACCACCTCTCTCCATCCACCTATCTAACCTCACCCTTCATTCAGAAGGAACAGAGGAACAACAGGCAACGGAAGAGCCTGCTGCTGAGAAGCCTTGAGAGGCTTGGGCTTCCATGCTAGTGTTATTCTTTTTTTAAAAAAAAACAGCTTTATTGACATATCATATTTTTATCAAATTTACATATCATAAAATTGACCCATTGTAAATATACGACTCAGTGATGTTTAGTAAAGTTGCATAGTTATGCAACCATCAACACCATCACATCCATCACTGTCCCTCCAGGATTTTCTGTACCCAGCTCCAGAGTAATCCAATGTGACGCCTTGCTCTCCTGCTCACCCCACTACTTCCAGAGGCAAGTGGTTCACGGATCTGCCAGCCCAGGCTTCCCTCTGGTGCAGCTCCCCAGGTGGCCTCACTAATCCTCCTGGGAACTCTGTTATAGGGCCATCTCTGGAGCCTAAGATAAAACCAAACTCCTTTACCCACTTTTGCTACTGCTTTGGCCTGGAGTAAACTCTGGCTTCAGAACCAGACATGGATTTTTTAAGTTGCAGATTAAGTGCTAAGCTGCAGGAGTTTCAGGAGGACCACGTGGGGGAGGGGACAGACACACAGAGAAGTGGTAGTATAACGGATGGAAGGAGAGCCTGCTTTTCCAGGGCCATTTGGGAGACTCTTTGCTTGTGTTTATTTTGACACAGTAAAGATTTCTTGCCTGTTAAGAGACAAGGTCACACCTCAGAAGGCCACGTGGACTGCAGCTAATGCTCTGCCTGCCGACTCTGGCCGTGTCATCACTCAGCACTGACTGGCCAGCTCTGGAACCTGTCCCCAACACACAGTCCTAGCTGCGCCATGCAACGCAGCGCCTGGCTCGCACCAAACACTTTACCCTACATGAAGTTGGGGCTAACTGTAAAAACTGGGAAAATGGCAGAAAAGTTTAAAGCACGTGCCAGATCTATTAGCTGAGGGGACCAAAAAAAATGTCACAGGTTAAAAAGCAAAGGAATTACACCCATGATATCATCAGTAGCCGGCAACAATTGAAAGGAGAACCTCATAGCCTTCCTCCTCCTTTTAGAAACCATCTCATTGGACAGTTCAATCTCACGAATTAGAGGACGGTGCTGGCAACAAGGGAAAGATGGGAATCACATGAAAAGTGAGGTTGTCTTTGTAGGGGATGGGGAGAGAGAGACAGGATTTTCCTGCGCGCCTGTAGCAGAGGCATCCCCGAGTGCCCCAATTTTGCCAACTGCGTTCCAGAGCTTGTTTCCTCCCATGCCCAGACAGAGCAAAGGCCGCTGTAATGACTTCATGTTCAGCCAAAAGTAAACACTCTCCACACTTTTTCCATGGACAAAGTCTAACCCCAAATTGCCAGCACTGGCCTCCCAACAATCCAAATGGAAAGCTGCCTTTCTCAAGAAAATAAAACCTTTTAAACTAAATAATACATCTTGGCTGCAGAAGCAAACTTTCCTAAAAGCTTCCTAGAAATTATTTATCATGCAATGATACTACAGATCACCTGAGCAAGCCCTACCAATGAACAAAGGCACTTAAATACAACGAATGACCTGAGAATAAAAGCTCATTCCACTCCACAAACATCTGCACTTCAACTTATGTAGCACATTATATAGCACTCACAGAGTGTGCTACTCCACACACACACACACACACACACACACACACACACACACACACACACACACACACACACACACGCAAGACACAGCTCACAACCACCTAAGCAGAATATTCCTTCTGAAAACAGGCCATGATAAGACAGGTGCTGATTTGAATAGAAGCAGAACAGCCCATAAGGCCTGAGCTCGGCAGCACTGTTGTACAAGTCACACGTACATCTTGCTGTTCTCCACGTTCCAGCTTGAATCTGTGTGACCCAAGCTCAGTCCTCTGTCAAGTAAGAAAAGTACAGACTTGGGATGGTGGACTTACCAGGTTGGAATTGGTGGCATTGGAGTCATCTTCTGGAAAGGGAATATAGATCGCTAAGGCCACACAATTGGCAAAAATAGTCAGTAAAATAATGATTTCAAATGGTCTGAAGAAGGGAGTTAAGGAAGTTAATGCCACAGAAAGCACAAATGTAACAAACATACATATATATTTTTAAATGAATCAAAGATTCATAAGAATTTTGTTTAAATAATACATTCCAAGCCCCTTGTACTCTGAAAAGAAACATATGCCTTTTTAAGTGCTTCTAATGGGTCCCCGCCAAAATATTTCCTAATATGTCAAAAGCAGTGGAGGCCAGTCGCGTGCCAGAGTAAACACAGATTTCTAAAAACTTTTTTCCCCTTCTTTTATTTATTTAGATTGCATTGGACTGCATTTTCCCTCATGTGTGCTCGGGTTGCTTTTAAAGACCGGGGCCTGCTCCAGTCAGGACCCGAGTCCCCCAGGCACCCCTTTCCTTGTGGTTACATGCTGCCATCCAGGGACTCAAGCTTGGGCTGGGAGAAGCGAGACAGAGTGGGATTTAAGGCAGAGCCTTGACTAAGATTTTTCATTTGAAATTTGGAGATTTTATTTTCAATCTTTTAATTTGAAGGTAAGTGTATTTGTTTCATTTTGGTTTTTTGGTTTTTTGTTTGATTATTTATTTGTTTTTGTCTTCTCCCTTCTTCTATGATAGCCTGCAAAGAACCTGAAGATGGCCAGGGCCTTGGGACCCCCCAAGAGCAAGGCAGCGTGTGTACTATGCATTTAGGGTACAACAGCCACCTTTTCTTTAAGGAGCAGCTTCCTGTAGAATACCTAAAATGTCTTCAGGCTGTGGAGGCCATGCCCTTGGTGGGTAAGACTTATGTTCTAGGCCCTCTCAACACTCCCTTGGTATGTGCTGAGATCTAGAGGGACGAGCCAAAGCCTATCCACCAGCGACAATACACTCAGGGTGGTTTCCGTGCCCAGATTTCTTTATCAAAGTATTAGGGCAGGACATATTCTCAGGAGGAAAATAAGTCAATGTGATACTACCCCTTCCACTCTGCACCCACAATCGAAGGCCAGAAAGGTGAAGCTTCAGAGGAAGTGCCTAGTTTATGTTCTTCTAGCCCCACCTCCCCCCACCCCTGAAACTGCCAAGTTTCCAGCCTAATCCACAGAGCTTGACAGGGAGAGGGGGAAGTGGAGGAGGATGGAAATTCCTGGGAGAAGGAACCAGCTTCATCTCCCAGGACATGAAACATATCCTCACCAAGTTAATGAATCTTGAAGCAGGAAGAGACTTAGAGACCAGCTAGTCCAAACTTCTGAGGCCCAGAGAGCCTAAGAAACTTTCCCAACACCCCACAGCAGGGCCTGATCCGCCAAGACTAGAACCCAGATTCCCTGACCCCGAGTCCAGTGCTCATTCCCCTGCCATAGATGCCTCTGATCTCTATTAACAAGGCAACCCTGAGCCTGGAAGGAATCTTAGTGATTACCTAGTCCAGGCTTCCCAGACAGTGTGCTGGTTACTGACGTCCCCCATGGCCCCATGGATGTAGTTCAGTGTGCGTTGACCCAGCACGCCTCGTGAAGGTTGCCATTTTCTATACAAGCCTTGATATCAACAACAAAGCATGCAGTGGACCTGTCCAACCTCCTAGCTTGACAGACACAGAAAATAAAACAACCTTTCCCAGATCCCAAGCTGGCAAATAGCAGAGCCAGGACCAGAACCAGACATACTGACTCATCTTTTCCAACACGCCTGCAGCCCCTTGAGTTGGCCAAGGAACAAGTGATGATGATGGTGATGTCGATGATGATGGTGGTGATGGGAATAGGAAGGGCATAGCTAACATCTACTGAGAGCTTACTGTGTGCCAGGCACTATTCTAACTGCTCTACACAAACATCCTGAGTTGAATGTACAATTATTATCCTCATTTCTACATGAAAGGTTAAATGTTAACTCATCCAAGGTCACAGAGATCGTGAAAAGGATGAGATTCAAACACAGAAAGCCTGGCTCCAGAGTCTGAGTTTGTAAGGACAACTCTACACTGATCTATCCTGAAGTTACCCTGAAGCTTTTTTTAGGAAGTTAGTTCTTTCAGCCCTCCTACCACATCTCTTCCCTCTCAGCCTATTCCTCACCTGCTTAGGAAAGTTACAGGCTGGTCAGTTTCATTCCCATCATCTGGTCCCCTGTGTTCCTCCACCAGCTGAGCTCATACATCTAGTCCTCAAATGTCAGCTTGGTCCCTCCACCAAAGTAGCTGACGGCTACACCTGGGGTATTTCTTGCATCATCAGTACTACCTCCTCCCTTATTCAAGCTATCCATTCATCACCTTATACGAAAAGTACTGGCTAATGCTGGGGAAGAGAGTTAGTAAAGAAACCAATCAGGCAGATAAGAAAAGCCATCAGCTGCAAAGCAGAGGATTAGGTAAGCCCCGGAAGCATTCTGTCACCTTGGGACAACCAGATCATTTTTAAAATTGCCTTCTCTTCTTAATGTCGGATTCAGATTCCACTCTTTAGAGTATTGACTGGCTCATACACCAGACCATCTCTTTATCTATCAGCTACCCTTCAAAGGCAATCTGGGAATGTCACCCAACCAGCACTGCCAAGACTGGGTTTCCTCTCCGATAGGGAGCAGGCACATTCCCTGGGAGGGTAGCCGTAGCACCCCTTTGCCCAAGTATGGGGGTGGTGCAGTGAGGTGGCTGAAGCCCACAGCTGGCACACTGGGTAACTGTCCTATTAACGTGGCTGCGGACTCCAGCCTCGTGGGGCCTGACCAGTTTCCGTGGACAGCACTTCACACACTTCTGTTAGGCAGCCGTAGCTCTTCCACTCTTCCCCTGCCTGCCCTGTGTACTACTGCCACCTCTCCATCTCTTCTCTTCTTCTCAGGGTTTATACATCACTGGCACTTCATTCTCACTCAGTACTCCTCATCAGGGAGCCGTCACTTCCAGGAGGTGAAGGGTGGACTTGAAGGTAACTAGTACTCACTGAACACGTCTCCTGAGGTAGCTTTTCTGAACATGCTTCCACATGTGTGGATTCCATAGCCCTGGCTAATACTTTAGGAAGTGACTGCAGTTACTCCCTGTTAGAGATGATGAAACCGAAGTTCTGGGTGTTTGGGTGGCCTGAGACCACTCAGAACATAGGTGGCAGGGGGGCGATGAGGTGGATGCTCAGGATCAAAATCCAAGTCCCACTGTGTCCCCTCAAAGTCCCCCCTAGTACCTTTCTTGTGTGCTATGGATGCATGGAGTATGGGAAGTGCATGGATTTGGGATTCAAGGAACCCGTATTTGAAACTCCACTCTATCAGTTGCCAGCAGTATAATTTTAGCAAGTTCTATAGTTCTCCAGGCCTTAGTTGCCCCATCTCTGAGGGAGCCTGACCTGTTAGGCACCCAGCTCTCCTACTCCACAATTCTGAGTGAGCAGCTATGACAGCAGCCTGATGAGGTGGCCCAAAGCTGAGCCTCTAACACAGTCATCTGAGAACTGGAACTCTGCTTGGATACTCGGGACAGACTGGCCAGTTCTAGAGAAGCCACATGGCTTGATCTGCATTTTCTTAAAGTTACTTTTGAGTTGAGGGGTTCAAACATTTATAGAACTAACATTTCTTGCTGAACAGAAACTTTTTTCTCTCTCTGAGTCATCTTTGGCCTTTCAAGCACTACCCAAGACTTTAAAATCTTTCCATAGAAACTCATGAATGAAACCTAACACTTCCATCCCAAACCTTGGGAGCCATGGTAGCCCTGCCTGAATCAATCTTATTATAAAAATGCCCAACACTAAGAACCAGGGTACTAGTCCTGTCTGTCACTGACTGCATGACCTTGAGAGTCACTCCTGTGGGGCTCAGTGTCATCACTGGGGAAAGTCAGAGGTGGACTTATTGATCTTCAAGTCCTTTCCAGCTCTACCACACACAATTCCTATGATGTTAAGGGGCCTGTGATTCCATAGTGAGAACCCAACCTTTCAAAGCCATTTTCACTCAAGGATCCACTCACTGGTTTCCATACAAAGTGAATCTGTGTTTAATACTGCAAGCTAGTGTTCTCCACTTTGGCTGCACATTAGAATCACCTGGAGAGTTTTAAAATATGCCTGGGTGGAGCTTTGGCACCTGTATTTTATTACAGCTTTACAGGTGATGCAAATGTACAGCCAAGATTGAGAAACACTGCTCCTAGACCTTGAACCAGCTCTTGGTTCAAGGCCTTGGTTCATTAACCACCACCCTCTTGCATCTCCTGGGCTCCTTCACTCTAGAAAAAGGGAGGTCATGAAACTATGCCAGCGCCATGACATGGGAAGAAAAGACGGTTATGGGGTAGCATGAAACCATTATTAACCCAACACACCAGTGGGTCCCTGGGCAAACTCATCAAGGTAAGATGATACTTTATAACCTCTTACGCTTATTTTCTCAAATGGTGCTTATTACATGAAAAAGCAAACACACACACACACTTGAGGAGCTTGCTATACCAGAAGATTCCTAGGCCCTATCCTGAGATTCCGATTCATCAGAATCTGCAATAGGGCCTACAGTTCTGTATTTTAACAGTGCCGCCATCAGATGCAGTAGGTCTGAGAACCACTTTATAGGCTCAGCACATACAACACAACCCACTGGCTAATAAAACTTGGGGGACTGGTCCCACCAGGACTCCCAGAGGCACCCTGCCCAACCCAGAGCACAAAGGATATTTCCATTCGACAATGCTTATGCACGCCCTGCGGATGGGGTTCTTCAGAGTCAGGCAGAGCAGGGCGCGAGGCGGGCGTGTGGCGGTCGTGCTGCCCTGCTTCTTGGGTTTCCCGTACTGCTGCCGCTTCCGCTGTGTGGAGCTGACAGTGGAGATGGTCGCATTGCCAGCACTTCCCATCAGCTTGGCCTGCCGGGCCGCATCGATGGCTGCCTGCCAGGACAGGGCCGCCCCTGGAGTAGGGATGTGCTCGGGGGCAAGCCCTGCCGCTGCATTGGCATTCATGTTGGCATGAGCTGAGCGTGGGCTCCCATAGCTGGAACCTGCAGAAGAGGACAGAGGACGACAGTCACCAGGGAGAAACCAGGAACGTTTCTGGGATGCCTTCAGGATCCCAGACTCACAACTGCTTAAAACTCTTATTTCAAACTATTGCAGTTTGAGCCTTGAGGTGGCACATGAAAACATTAGTGTGTGATGGTGAGAAAAAAGAGTCAAGAAATCTGTTCTAGTCCTAGTTCAGCTATGTGACCCTGGATATCTCACTCCCTGTCTCTAGACTCACCGCATCATTTTAGGCAGACAAAATATGACATGTGTACACTACGACATGTGTGGACTTCAGAAACACAGTGCTAGTAAGAAGGTGAGGATACAGAAAAAGACAAATACACAATGTAATACATGTAAATTAAAATACATTTATATAAATACATATATAAATAAAAAGATATTCATTAAAGAGAGTGGAATGGCTGTTTAAGGAAGGTGAGAAGGAAAATGAGAGTAGGATATGGGGATAAAAAGGAAGAATGAATAATGAATGAATAAGAGAGCCATTGCATGAATCGATGATGACAAATGCACAATAAATTGATGAGTATGATTCACTCAAATCTCTGTACCTGAGTTCCAAAAAATAAAAATAAGTATAATAAAATGAGGCGTTTGGACCAAAGTAAGGTTACATCCAGGTACCTCAAACCCATCAGGACACAGAGTGTTGGTTTAATTGGAGGGGGTACGGGGTTGTAATGGTTTTAAATCACATCAGCAAATCTTCTGATATCCTCTTCATTTTGAGAAATAGAATCTATACTCCCTCCTCCTGAAATGGGGTTGGACTTTCGTGACTATTTTGACCCATAAGGTATAGCAGAAGTAACAGTATGCGACTTCCAAGACTAGTTCAATAAAAGGCAATGTTGCATCCACCTGACTCTGGATGCTGGCCCTGGGGGAAGTCAGCCACCTCAGAAAGCAGCCTGATTGCCCTGAGGCTGCCATGCTGTGAGGAAGCCCAACTGGCCTACATGGAGAAACTGTAAGCAGAGAGAAAGACGCCCAGCCATCCCCCAGCTGTTCCAGTCGCCATCTGACTACAACCTCATGAGAGACCCCAAGTCAGAGCCGCCCAGCCAAGCCCTTCCTGAATTCCTGACCCACAGAAACTGTGGCAGGTAGCAAGAGGTTTGCTGCCGTAAGCTACTTTGGGGTGATTTGCTATCTGGGAAAGGCTGCTGTATGTGGCAGGGTTGACAGGGTAGGGTTCAGGGCCATTCAGGAAGGAAACCTGAGTAGGAACCAGTGAAATGCAGACTAGAGGCATGTGCAGTACTCTGGTTTAAAGGCAACTGAAGCCCTCAAAACTATCCCTAAATACCATACATACTAGGTAGGCACGCCTCAGTTGGTCAGCTGGATGCCTCCCCCTCAAAATCCTACAAGATTTATCAAGTAATCAGCTCAGCCTGGGCCCAAACCTGAATGCCCCGAAACAGAAGTATGACCTTGAGATCCATCAACGGGCAAAGTGTAGCAGGATCCAGACACAGAGAAGCGGGTGCTAATATGGGCAGAGAGCCTGACATCTGGATGTCATGTCAGTTGCCTGCGAGACTGTGGCTGGTGCAGGCAGACCAGTTGCATATACATCACTTACAAAGCCCTCCACAATGACCCTTTCCTCTGCTCAGTGTATACGTGGTCTTTCCAGGGAAGCTGCTGAGCCCAGAAACAGCTACCTGGTAGAGCCCCTTACCTCTCCTCACTGCAGCACACCAGGATTCAGATGAACACTTGGCACCCTCCCACACCTCTCCCCAGCTCATATCTGGGGCTGATCCCTCTACATTTAACTTTAAAATAACTTTTGCTCTCAGTGTAACCTGCTATCTAGTCCTATCACCCCATCCCCCACAAGACCCATCTCCCGAAGGAACCAGTTCAAAGATGAGCACATGACCCAGCTTAGCCAGTCAGAACATTTGCATCCAGACAGCGTCTGTCCTAGAGACAGGCACTAACAACCCCATTGGGCTCCTGCATCCAGTCATGCCTGACGTTAGCCTTCCCCTGAGCTTTCTGGATTTACTGCTGAAGTAACTTAGCTCAAACTAATTTGAATTAGGTTTCTGTTCCTGGCAACCAAAAAAGACCTGACTAACATGATTGCTCAGTGCCACAAAGCCTGTACCTTGCTGGGGTGTCATTTCTGCCAGATTCCAAAGTTTGTGTCCTTCCACCATCACACCAGTGACAGACAATAAGTTTCCGCTCTTGCACCAACTGCTTGGTGTTTGTCCAAAATGCTGCACCTAAAGGATTCTGAGACTTTTCTGAGTACAACAGAAAAGCAAATCATGATAGATTTGTGATGTCTGCATGGGCACCAAGGGTAGAAAAAGGTATTGCAGATGCCACATATTTACCATCTGGAACAATATCGAGACGAGCACATCAGGTCTTCTTTAGTACCAGCTGGTCTACTGCCTTATTCCCTGACAGTTGCTTCCTACACTATTGCCATCTGATCCCTGTAGCATTAGAGCCCCACTCCCTAGGGCCTGGAAAACTGCCTCTTTGCTATACTCAATCCATGGCTATATTCTCAACATGACACTGACTCCCTTCTCGCCATACATTCCTTTCACCCTCCTCCTTTCCTCTGCCCCAACTGTTCTAGGCAGCTGTCGCACCCTCAGGGGTAAAGTATATTAACCAAAATGTCAGGATCATGGAGAGCCCCACAATTCCTAGGAGTCTCACCTCTCACTACCTTGCCACTGTCCTCCTTGCACCCACTGTGTGGATCCTAAGCATACAGCAAGGAAGACCCCAATCGGGGCCTTCATCTTTCTTATAAGACCCCAAAGAAACAAACAAAAGAGAGAATTTAAATTAATACAGGCACCTGAAGCATGAGAACTACTTTAATAACCAGCAAGCATGAATATCTCTATTTAACACAAAAGAAAACAAAGGAGTGTATGACTCATTAAAGGTCACAAAGTGAGACAATGGAAGATTTCTGCAGCAAGCACAGGACTCACAGTTAAAGGCTAGACTATACTCCATCTCCTCAGATCTCACACACACCCTCCACATGCATACACACGTGCATGCTCGCATACATGGCCACAAGCAAAGCACACACATCCTACTGGTATATGGACCTTGAGGTTGAAGAGTCTGCATTTCTGACCCCTAAGAGATCCTTTATGTTTAATGTGATCTTCACAGGACACCATCCACTATACGAACAGCCCCTTTAGCAACCCTGGGCACCTCTGAGATAAATGAAAGTGGGAAGTGTCCCTGTTCCTATTTGCTGCACTGGAGTGACTAAGTCCAAAGTGCCCTCATCTCTTGTATAACTGAGTTCACCAGAGAGGGCTGGAACTCTAACTGTGTCCGTCCAATCTGTGGTATGTCATTTTTCCTTCCTAGACTCCCTGTTTGGAATTGACAATGCTTAATAGACTATTTTATTCCTGGACTAACTTCTCTTCCCTCACATACATAAAAGTAGTCATGTCTCTACCACTGTCAGCCCTTCCAAATCCCAACTCTCTTCCCACGACAAGCCCTCGACACCTCACACCTTCCCACAAATCACTGTCTTCACATTCTAATCTCTATGCTCACCTCCAAGCATTGTCTTAATGCCCCTCTCTCACACCACCTGCCAATTCCAAAAACCGAGGAGTGTTTGGACAACACTTAGGAAGAAATCAGGAAGCACAAGTGCAAGAACACATCCATCGCCTTGAAAAGGCCGTGTATGGGGTGTGGAGGCCACGGCTTCCGAGAACAATATGGCCACAGCTCCACAGAGTCAAGAGGGGTTCTAAAAGCCACATCTCGGTAAGCTGCCTTCTGAGCCACCCCGCATCAGGGGTGACCTTATTCACATTGTGAACCATTCCCAGAGCACAAGGACCTCTCTGGAGCACACCATCTGCAGAAAGAATATACGAATAAGCCCATGGGGAAAAATGGAATGTCAACCTTTCCCTAGCTGGAGGACAAGAAAACAGCTGTCAGTATTTTGGTCCTGGAAGCTCTGAGCCTTGCTGCAGCCCTGTGACATGACCAAGAGCACCGCTACACAAAGCCACACACAGGTGGGACAGGCATGGCCCCTAGGGTCTCCTACGCTTGGGCTGTATTCCAAGGCCCAGCCTGGCCTTCCCTTCGCCAAGCATTTGCCTCACCTAGACCCGAAGCTCTATGAGTACTCCCAGATCCCGTACAACAAGGGGACACAATTCTCCAAGAATCCCAGGAATGGAAAACCTCTACCTCAGACTCAACATTTCTGAATCTAGAGCAGCGCCATGGAGGAAAGGCAAGCAGCATTATGTCCCTGATGACTTTTGTTAGCACAAAATAACCACCCAATGCAAAGAGACCAATTTTCAAATTATAAAGCTGATTCAAAGCTCTGTCTCCTGGCTGCCAGCTGAAAAGATGCCACCGTTTAAGTCTGCTCTGGCTCCTGCCTTACTAGGCTATTTCCACTGATGTGCTCATCCCTGAACAAGCCTCAGAGCAGCAGCTCAGCAGATCAGGCCACACACAAAGAGGTAGGTGCTTAAAGCAGTGATCTCTTCCTCATACGTAAGAAAATGACTCCCATGTGTCAAGTAGTCCAGTTTCCCTCAAGAAAGCAGCAGCTCTTTCCTCCTGCACATGGTAGCTGCTGCTTCTCCAAAGGACCAGGATGAAGGCAAGACCCCAGCACAAACTGATCAGCTGTGGGTCATTCTGCTTTGCAAAGTCCACAGAAGAACACCAGTCAGCAGGTGGTGGCTTATGCTTCCTTGGCGCCCCTGTGAATGAAGTGTGGTGCTGGGGTCCTAGAAGGTGTTCAATGTTGAAAAGCTTGATTTTTTCCTTTAATCCATTCCCATCCATGGACCTAATCCAGGGCCACATCCCAAAAGGTGTTCGATATCTATTTGCTAATGACTATATTGACGATGATGTCGTGATAAAGACGAAGACAACAGGTAAACAGCAACACTGTTGGAGTCAGCTT